GCGGGGAAAAATCCCCCGCCCCGTCCCCGCCCCGTTACCTGTTTAAGCGGGTTTTTCCCTCCCCGTTCGGGGCGGGTCCCCGCGGGTATCGGGTTTGTCGGGTTTTTTTGCCATCCCTACTCTTAAAAGACTAATAGGTTGCCAGGTTACATAAGTTTAAATCACAAGGGCAATCATGATCAAAAGACTGTTCTTGAGAATTAAAGAATGGACTTGAACATGTTAGTACAAAAAGGTAAAGAACACCTTAATCTTTTTTCACTTTCGGCCTATTTCTGGGATCAGAACAAGAACAACTAAGATTAATGAGTATCACAACCAGATTGGGCATTGATTACATTTAAATGTATACTGATATAAATCATAATGAAACATTGCTTTCTGGCCAGCAGACATATTTGACCACTGACTACCAAAGCTAAATTTATCACATTCAACATTGCCAATACTAGCAGTACTCAACACTCATACCAAGATGAAATGTTAAGTTCAAAGCTTCAAAAATGAAAAAAATACTGGTATGACTTTAAAACAACTGTACCAGTTAGAACCTATTAGGCCGGTCGAGTAAAAAGAACTCGTTGGCCCACTGCCTCTCCATACAGTAGATTGGCTCTCCATACGAAATGGAATCTAAGCCCTGACTGGCTAAAAATCAATTTAAGGAAATTTGAAAAAAAGTTGAAAAAAAATTATAATTGAAAAGTTGTGAATCTTATAAAATATGATGTTAAAAATAAATTTGAGGCCAAATCGAGTTTAGCCCAAATGAAGCCCCACTTTTGAGACAAGCTAACAGTTCGTTAGTGACATTCGGAGGACCAATTTGGACTGATCTACATGTTTTGATACCTCTAATAATAAGACAAATTCGAGCCAATAATGTTTAAGAGACGGCAGGATGAATGTTTACAGAGCTTTACAACAGATCAAATCAAGAGCACAAAGAGAGGGATTTAAACATCCTATTTATCCTCTTGCTCAATTAATTAATTATTTTTAATAAAATTTAAATTTTAAAACATATAAAAATAAAATAAAATAGCATGTTTTGAGAATTCAGGGCACGCATTCCTAACCCATCGTATTTAATGGTCCGTTTGACAACTTTTATTTTTGTTTCTTGTAAAAGAGCTGTCTGAAAAAATTTCTTAATTTTTATTTGATTTTGACTTCTCAAAAGTTATGCCTAAAATGACTCTAACCAGTAGAGTATTTAACAATATTATAAAATGCATAATGCGTGGCGATGCGTGGAAGTTTCTATGAACTAGGCAAAACATATGCGTAAAAAAGGGTAAAATGACGTTTTCTTATTTTAATATTATTATAATTTTAAATCAATCAAAAAACCATTTAATAATTAAAAATGATACATACCTAACATCTAAAACGTATTTATAAAAAATTTATACATTTTTTCAAAAGCTTTCAACAAAATAATAAGTTTAAAATGTAAATCAATTTTTAACTTTATAAAAATATATTAATATGTGCCTAGGCGCGAGGCATGCATTACCGGTCTAAATAAGGAGCTAAGCCACTTGATTTGGCATTTTCGCTTTGCAGTGCATCGTGCCTAGGCAGCACACTAACGAAATCTAAAACACCGATATTTAATATCTCTAACTTTATGAGCCCACCTGGAGTACTAGCGTCACTTTACTTTATATAATGAGTAATGCTACAGGTACATAAACATCTACATAAGGGTTCACATAATTACACGTGTCATATGATCTAACCTTTAATTCAAATTTCACACATACACATCAACAATTGGATGATTGA